TTAGTAGTAGCTATTAGTAGTAGCTATTAGTAGTAGCTATTAGTAGTAGTAGTAGTAGTAGTAGTAGTAGGAGTAGTGGTAGTAGTAGTAGTGGTAGTAGTAGTAGTAGTGGCAGTAGTGGTGGTGGTGGTAGTAGTAGTAGTAGGAGTAGCAGTAGAAGTAGTAATAGTAGTAGTTGTAGTAGTAGTAGCAGCAGTAGTAGTAGTAGGAGTAGCCGTACGTGGCAGTGGCAGTGGCAGTGGTAGCATAGTCGTCGTAGTCATGTAGTGGTAGTCATCGTCATGTAATGTAGTCAAAGTCGTCGTCGTAATAGTCGTAGTCGTCGTCGTAGTCCTAGTCGTAGTCGTAGTCGTTGTAGTGGTAGTAGTAGAAGCACCAGTAGTAGATGTAGATGTAGATGTAGATGTAGATGTAGTAGTAGTAGTAGTAGTAGTTGTTGTTGTTGTGGTTGTTGTTGTTGTTATTGCAGTAGTAGTCGTCGTGGTGGTGGTGGTAGTGGTAGTGGTAGCTTGTTGGGGTCAACTGGGTCAACTGGATCAACTGGGTCAACTGAGTCCAGAGATTCAGCGTGGCCCCATATGCGGTCGCAATGTCACAGTTGGTTCAATACTACCCACATCTTGGAACACGGAATGGGACGGGGAAGGATTTGCATAGGGGCCTTCAAATTATAACAAGGCAACTGGTATCTGCACATGCTCCATTCATTCCCACTGGTGGTCTCCTCACCTGCTCGTTTATGGTGAGTGGTGCAGCATTTTCTGAGCTGCTGGGTTCTTGCCAGAGCAGCGCCTCCTGGACGTGCGAGCTTTTGTTGATACAAGCAGTAGTCCAGAATGACTTGAGAAACGGTTGTCCCTATTTGAACTTGTGGCTTTGGGGGGGGGTTCTATATCAGGCTATCTGAAACAAGAATGGACTGCTTGTCAGTGTCTGAGCTGATGAACATTGTCACTAGAGTAGCAACAATCCAAATGCTTGAGCATGTGGTGGATGAGTCGATAAGTGCTGCAACCGTGAATCACATGTCGGCAGTAGCCGCAGCCTGCATCATATAGAGTTCGTAGAAGTTGGACAAACTACAGTAATTCGGCAAAAGGTGATTGTGAAGTCAGCTTTAACATGCTTCCACCAGTAGCTCGATCTTTACATGGTCAAGGCAAATCTTCTGCCCAGCCCACTTGTATAACTCGGCTCCTGAAGGAGGTCGATTTTGAGTTTGCGAGACAACCTGGCTTGGGGCCCACGGCAGCCATGGACGCTGGATGATACGATGCCCTCTTACATATATATATGTATATATATATATACAGACCCAATTATATAATATATATATTTACTTGAGGCCGAGGGTAGGTGACGAAAGCTAGCAGGGATGCATCCGTGTCAGTGGAGGCGAAGCATACAGAGCCGTCCAGTGACAAAGGATTGGTGGGACATCAAGCGGAGTGAGGCATTTTTGTTCATAGGCATGGGGCTGTTGGAGGGATGGTTCACAAGGTCTCGCTCATGAGGTAAAACGTTGTGAACATGTAAGACACACGGACAGCAATGACACGGCCAACCTTAGCTTGTGAATCTGTTGAATCTGTTGCATCGTATCCCAAAACCTCCACGGAGGAGTTGAACCAAAGGAGTTGAACCCGCGGGGGGGGGGCCTTCTACATATGAAGTGTTCACGTGATGCGGCGATCTCGAGGATTCCAGCCCCTCACTTGCTAAAGCAAGGACAACTCCAGCTAGCTGATGCTAGCTTTCGTGATATATATGATCTTGAGTGTGACCTCTTTCGCGCGTCAATCTGTCTGCGCCAAGTAACTCTGCCCCTCTCCGCGCCGCTTCCAGTGCCGCCAGCAGGGCACTTCCTGCTTGACCTGAAGAATCGCTTGTGTTGCCCATGAACTTGCAAACAGAAGCTGCGCTGCTTCAAGTGCTGATCAAGTGCTTGTTGCCCCTGAAGCACAGCCACAAAGAGGCAACAACATGTGCGTATGAGGTCTAGTACCGGGCCAGCACTGTCTGGGGTTCCTTGCCAATGCCATGACCTAGAGCTGTAGGGAAAACAAACATCGTGCGGCATCATTCAATTTTCTGGGGGAGCGTCTTCCTGAGCTTGCTCACGATGACAAGTTTAAACGTCGGGAACAAACAAATATGTAGTCTATAGAGTCTATAATGCAAGCATGGCCTTCATGGTGGGCGTTCCGCCTCTCTTGTAGATCTTGTAGACTCACAAATCACATAGGTCCACCCCAAGGCATCGGCTGCACAGCTGGTGCGGCTCACTCAGGAGCCTTGGGCGTTTACCGAAGGAAGTAAACAAACGCAAGTGTATGGCTGCCCTGTCCAATCTTCAGGTTGATCCAGGATAGTGGATACGCATGGCTTGGGAGTTGCCTGTGCTTCTTATTGCTCCACTTGCTTGGCTCTGGTTCTAAAGGGTTGGGGTTTTGCTCTTAATGACACACCCATTAAGTCAGGGCTTGTATTGAAAATTGAAACGATCTAGCAAGCACCAAAGATCTTTTGTTCTGACCTATCCTGACCGCCTGCTGGACTCGCGAACCGTATCCCTTCCTAACCACAATCATAAATCGTTGCATTCATTGAGTGTGTGTTAAAAGTCATGTTCAAACTCTCCAAGTGGATTCCTAACCATCATCTCTCAACTTCTCAAATGAGCTTGGAAATAGCTGCTAGCTGTCTGTGGAGCCCCAACTGGCGCAGCAGAAGCAGGGCTTCCTCCTGGGTGTGGGTACCTAAATGCAAGGCGCTATGAGCGATCCCGCCAAATCACTCTATGTATTTCTATCTATCTGTCTCTTTAAGATTATGTCACGTTGCCGTGAAGTGCCACATTGGTCAAGCGATGCCGAAATAAGCCCTGAGAGGGTGAGTGCAAAATAATGCTTGGCGCCTGGGCCACCCAAACAGTGTCCTGGTGTTCCTGTACTGCCCGAGAGCCTCACCCAGCTCCCATCCGCAGAAACTCCCGCCTAAGGACTTTCTCCTCTCCTCGTAACTAAGGCGTGGTTTTTGCTGCTTCTCCTGGCGGCCCCGCGCTGCGGGCATCTCACCACGGCAACTTGGTCATGTGGCCTATGCACAATCATTGCTAGGATCTTTTCTCGATTGCACATTGGTGAGTTTCTTAAAACTTCACAGCATCGGGAGGTTAGCTTTGAGTCTTCAAGTCTGCCATGGATTTGACAAACTTAACTCGCCCTCAAGGACTTGGAACCGCTTGAAAGCAGTGAAAAGCTTCACTGTCTTAAGATTGACAAGGGGCTACAGGTGGTTCACACGGAGCCGAATCTAAAAGACACGGGGTTCGTGCCATCTGCTGAAACTGCAATCAGAGAAGGTCTATATAGTTTGCGGTCACAGCAGGTCGAGGCAAATTGTGCCTTCGGAGTGATGTCATCAGTTTGCTTCTCGTGGCTTCTACATCGCTTCAGCCAGCAAACCTAAGCATGCAGTCGCAGTTCTGCTCAGTTGCAGTTCTTTTCAAGGACCTTTGCAAGTCTGGTGGGGCCTTTGAGGCCTTTTGACTTCCAGCTCACCAAGACACAGCAGTCAAACCAAATCTTATAGCGATGGCCTCCAACCTACTACAGTACCGATGGCCTCCTGGTGATCGAATGTGTTTTCAATAGCATCATTTTTGCTTTCCACTTCGCACGCGGCCTCGACTCTCGTCCGGGTGCCCCACTACAGCCGACGCTGATCCCGGGCTTGAGGGCCTGCTGAAGGGGAAGTAAGCCGCGCACGGATAATCAATGGAATGCTGCAAAAAAGGCCATCACATTGTGTGAGTAACCTTTCTATTTTCTGGATCAATTTGTGCCACTCGCCACACGAGTGGGTAACAACAGCAAGACAGCTTCCTTGTTTGGTCTTGACCCCTCATCACCATGCCCTGATGATTGGAACAGAATTGGTTGGGAGGTGTTGGGACATGTATACCAATGCCGGTGGTGTTTCTCATATTCACCCCCCTGACTCACTTCTAGATTCGTAGATCCAACCAGGTCCCCTCGCACTCAGGCCACGCCTGCGTCCCAGCAGCCGCACCTGGTCAGCACTCATTGACAGGATCTCTGCAACTTCTTCTGCAGCGGCAGAAAGGCCTCAAATTTGAGATCACAAGCGCGGGGAATGTATCAGGCGCATGAGAGAAAAGAATTTCAAAGGAATATCTGGGCATGAACTCAACATTGTTTACTCCCAAGAATGTGACCTCTTTTTCACAAATTGCATGATTATTGGATGGTCGGAGCCACACTATAGAATCATGGTCATCGAGTCATTGACTCATAGCCGTCAGGTATCGTGTCCACCATGTTGTTCTTAGCTTCAAAGTTGTTGAGGTCTAGATTCTAGCAAGCGTTGCTGTCATTACCTGTTCAGCTTCTACAATTCACATCTTCAAAGCAAGCGTTGTTGTGTCCTCTGAGTGTGCGGCTCGATCCGAGGGCGATCAGCTCACTTGTGCGACAAACCACACCTCAGCGTCATGGGAATTCACACAAGTCTTCCACTCTCACATGGATTCGCGGACCAAAAGGTACACACACTTCACATCTTTCTTGTTGTACCTCATTGGAATCATTGTACTCCAAATTCAGCCCATGCATGCTGCGTGCCCACTCACTTTGGACCAGGTTGATACTGCCTAGAGTACCCCCTTAATACCTACTCCTCATCCAGCTGGGAGCCCAGCAGCAAGGCAACTCTGCCTGCGCTTCGAGCACGAGCTTTCCATGTGGACAGTGCATACACATACATTGTCATACATATACCTAGTCTCATTGTTCTCCATGTGTTCAGGTGTTTCCTGCATTAGGAAAAGAAACGAATGGTCTAAAGTCCAAGAGGTCCAAAGAAAAAGTGGCTTGAGAAAGTAAAAAATAATACAGAAACGGTGGAAAAAAATGAAAATGATATTTAGCATGATTTGATATCTAATCATTTCACGATTCTTTCGCGTCTTTGCAGTCATTTGGGGTCTCCTCGCTCTTGGACGCTGCTTGGGCAGCCCCTCGCTCAGCCAAGGAGTGGAACCTCACTTCGACGCTTGCAATATTGGCTTCCCTTCGGCCGAAGGAAAAGGGTGAGAGGAATTTCAATAGCGGTGGCCTCCAACCTAAGAGCAATGGTCTCCAACCGAATAGCGGCTTCCAACCTTATCACCAAACATAGTAGCCAAAGAACAAGGATTTCCAAAGTGCCTCTCTTTTACACTCTACACAACGCTGGGATTGATCTGCATTCGGCTGACTTATCACCCTCTACTCTCGTCGAAGCAATTCAAACATATCATTCCCATCTGCCCGTCGGTCAAGAATTTGTGAAATAAGTGGCAAAGTTGACCGGGATCCCCTAACAGCTTGCGGAGGGAACTCCTGTCGTTCTCATCTCCTGTCACTAGCTCAAGTGTCAAGCCATGAACAATACCACAACTGAAATCTAACATGGAACAAGATGGCTATATTGTGTTCGTGCAACCAGGCAATACCACAGCACATCGAGAAATCGACTGTGGACAAAAGAAAATAGCTGCATTGTTTCGAGTTCACTTTACACAGGTTCTGGCTTGTGACTGGGCAATAAAGGAGCACAAGGGGCAGTAGGCAAACAAAATGCTGAAACACTTGGACCACGATTGTTTGTCCCAAAGACAACTTTAAAGAAACATACTAGTATATACATATATAGTATACATATATCATATATGTATATATGCTTGCAAGGTGCTGTACGAAGGCTCACAATATCACATTGCTCTGGGTCCTGCTTCGTGGGCAACAGCCGCGGTTAGCAGCCTGGAAAAAAGAAAACAACAACAACAACTGCAGCAACGGCAGCCTTGTTTGCAGGCTGTGCAAACATAAAGGTCGCTAATATCTTTTCTTGCTGACATTGTTGTTCGGATTTTGCTGTTCCAAACAAATACAAAACTCTCTGGCCTTGCCCACCCTCAAACATTGTCCACAAGAGAACCCATGATGATGTTTCTAGTTTACGGCAATTAGTTGAATCATTCTTGAGGAAATGGCTGGCCACCCAAATATTGGGCCACCCCACTGCGCCAAGCTTCGGAGCGAGTACGTTGTTTCAGCTGCCTCCGGCAGGGGAGAAATCTGACCTAATGACCTGAGTTGCAACCTGCTAGGAAGTCTTTATCCTTGTTATCCTTGTTGCATCTGTGAATGTGGAGAATGTCCTGGGAATCGAAACCACTACGTAAGCTTTTGAAAGGCTCACCATCGCTCAGGTCTCCCGCCGTAAGCACCGGGAAGACCTCTGCAAGCCCAAGGCCTGCCGACAAGAATTTCGAGCATTCGATTTGAGAAACGGTGGGGAGAATCATGGAGAGTCTCAGAGGTTGAGGAAGGTGACCAAGCAACCTTGCTTGCGAGGAAAGCCCTTGTCGGCCCAACAATATGTTTGTATAAATACACAAAAGTTGATATTGTATATGCATCTATATATAATACTGTATGTATTTCTTTTAAAAAAAATACTGTGTAGGTGTGAAAGAATACCCGGCTGATGAAAATACCTGGCTGTCTAAAGATTGATCAACACTTGTGTGTTGGGACTTTGAGCCACACTCACACGATTTAAGGTTACCTCAGTTACCTCCATGTGCCCACGTTGAAAAGGGTTTTTTGAGGTTAACAAAGGCATTTCTAGGTAAAATAAACAAACCATCCTTCGTCTGCTTGCCTGACGTTTGGTGTTTGGATGTGTTTAAAGCTTAAACTTACTGCAGAATTCACAGCAAGCTGGCCCGACACAAGCTTCGGGGCAGGGGGAAGACCATCCTTGCCTAATCCCAGGGCTGGCTTCAACAAGGCTGGCACCTCAAAGAACTGACCCTTCCGATTAAATGATGGGGTGGAGTATATATCAAGGTACACCTAGGTACGTGTGCGTGGTTCATCAACCGTTGAAACAGGTTGCTGTCTCAAGCAGATTTGCGCAATTGCTCACTGGCTCCAATTTCCTCGCTCAACTGCGCAGGATTATATATGATTTTGTGTGCGTGTGTCCATTTGTTGCAGGCCAAAGCACGAAACAAGTCCATTCCTATGGGAATCCTCCTGTGAACAATGTGTTTTCCACATGACAAAAACCTTCAGGCTCAGGCTCAGACCAACCAGTGTACGAATAGCAGCCTGCCCAGCAAGTCCTTCCAGCACACTTAGATTTAAGCAATATTGCGAAGAGTGGAAAGAAAGTGTACGTCGCTTGAACGCACATTCACGTTCTTCTAACACATTCTTCAAACATGCACGAGTCTCCAGCATGCCAGCTCGCATTGATATTTGCAGATGTTTGACGTTCAAAGGGTCCTGACCCTTGTCTCCAAAGGTCCTCAAGGCCGCCGCCAAGCGGCACAAGGTTGGCCTTGGCCCGACCATGTGGGGATGTGATGTGAATACCCTTTTCTACCCTTTCTAAAATGGGTTTGGCCAAGCTGCAAACACACAAAATGGCCCTTCTATCAAGAATGCCCATATGTAGCAAGCCTGTTATACGTGTAACTTGTATCTACACACGGAACATTTACGTTACGTATGCTGTCCCAGAAGGCAAGTTGGATCAATTGGCTGGATAGCTTTATGGTTGCTGGCATGACAGGAATGATGACACAGGTCATGGTCTGAGCAACTCACGGGGCCGCATAGGCTGCCTCTGCCAGAGATTGAACCTGAGTGACAAAGCCCTTAGATGCGATGCCAGGCTAGAAAGCAGATGCATTGATTTCTAAAAAGAAAAATACACACAGGACAGAAACTAGACCATTTGAAGGACGACCCTTAAACTAGGCATGGAAGGTTCAACAGTTCCTGAACACCCAAACCTGTCATGCTTTCACCATAATGCTGAGATATGACCCGGAGAAAGCCCTCTCAAGCTGAGCTTGAAAGTCCATCTTCTTGACCCTTGAGTTGACTAGAGACCGATAGGCCTGGGATCATGGCCCTTGTGTTCACAAGAGAACGTCTGCAGTGGGAAGTGCGGACACTTGCTAAGTTCCCTGGCCAGCGTGGCAGCAATACCATCTAGGTCCAACACACTGCCTTGTCACAAGGCGAAACACCGGGGCTGGCCGAAAAAAAAAAAGACCGCAAGCAGTGGAGCGTTTCATCCATAAGCAGACGCGTCTCATCTACAGCATTCAGATTGCACCCATGCTAAAAGGACAGGACATGACAGGACTATGTTTGTGTGTGCGAATGTTCCCAGAACTGGTTCAAGTAACAAAACAACAGAATTGCCAATGTAGGACCTAGGACTGCCTCATGCACCTTGCTCGACCTCCTCACTTGGGCTGTGCGCCTGTGGAATTGGTGATGTTGGCTCTCCGCATTGCCCACTCCTGCCAGACGCAGCGAAACCCGTGTCTTTAATCTATGTCGATCCAACATTGAGCTGATAAAGCGACAGGACTGATTCCCTTGGTGTTGTTGTGGTAGATCTGTTCTTCAGGTGCGCCGTGCAGCTCATGACTCATGAAGCACGAACTCCCTGTCTCGGACAGTCTCTCAAACAGTGCCTGGCGTTTTGGCCTCAGGCACAGCTCATCTAAACCAGAAATCCTGTGGTCGACGGCTATGCGTTGCCTTGTAGACATGGAGTTTGAACTCAGATTTGGCAAACTTTGGTTTTGGGGCTTTGGGTTCAAATCCGATGCATTAGCCAAAAAGAATCAACCTCGCTCTCGACATCTTGCAATGCCAGCTGTGTCATAGGAGAATTGAACGGAAGCTCTCATGGTTTCCCATCCTAGCAGCGCTTCCTCCCAAATCGTTTTTCTGTAATTTTTTGTCATTACATGGTGATTATGATATGTTACAGTAAATGATGTTCCAATTTCTTTCTAGGTGTGCTGCGGAGAGTACATCAGCATCACAGCCAAACGGCCAAAAAAAATCGTTCAAACACAGCAAGACCTGCAAACGTGTTGTTTTAAAGTGATGAGAAAGTAGTGTAAATCAATGGTTCCATCCGTTTCAGAATCTGAGCCTCCCTGCGAGTCGGAGTGATCCGCCAGTTCCTAGGCTCCCATGATCCGCAACCCAAAACATGTGCAGGTGTGATTTGGAACATAGAACTTGTGCACGAAACGGAAGCAACACCTCCCAAATCCATCCAAAACATGCATGAGAAAATGGATGAATATGGGTAGCCGCGCTGGGAATCAGCACCTGGTAGACGACTTGTGTGTGTATACATGTATATATACCTGAAATTGGAGGGGACGAAAGCCAGCTTCTGGCTTAGGGGGTGCTCTCAGGGTACGTGGGCCCGGGCAAAGACTTGGCGTGCAAAAGGAAATGATGGGGTAACATCGGGCAAAGCTTTATTTCATGGGGCGAAGTTGACATCGCAGCCACACTGATAGGGGTAGAAATGGAAAGTAGAAGACATAGGTCCGGGGGGGGGGGGGCCTTTTTCGCCCCGGTTCATTTGGATGTGAAAAAGGGCACCCCTCAGGAAGTGAGGTGCGCTTGCCGGCGGCGTGTTGCGAATCAGTGAGCAGAGACGGCGGTGGGGGGTTCATGTGCGAGGCAATGGGTAGGTGAGGAGATGTGCTACGGATTAAAAAGGGGCACCTGGGCACCCCTAAGCTAGTCAACGCTTGCCCACTGCAATCTCTTCTCTCTCCTGCCCCCAACAACCACCCCATGTGGGCGCCCTTTTCAGTCCAGCAACTCGACCTTGCTACGGATAAAAGAGGGCAACCCGAAGCTATTCAGGACCT